AAGCAGAACAAATGGAGCCTAGGAGCGCCAAGCCAGGGCTGGACAAAATGTCCATATAATTGTGCTTCCTGTCTTTTGAGCAGTACAGCACATCAAACCTAGCAGCTTTGAGCCCGCTCATTCTCATGACTTTCGTGAAGTTGGAGTTGCCGCTGAAGAATTCTAAGGAATCGTATTCCTGCAGGGCTGGGGGGAACATGGCAGTACATCTACACGGGGATGGCAAGAACCCCTCCAGGCCTCCCCCTTGTCATACAAGTTCTCCGTCCACCAAATGAGGAGCACACACAAGACGAACTCATGGGCCCATCAGCTTCCCTCGCACGTTAGCGTTTGCAAGCAAGGTGCATTGCCCACAAGAGTTGGTCCAACGACCTCATGGTTCCCTTGCGCACAGGCTACAGGCGTGTGGCTGTTAGGCAGCTCAACTGGCTGCAGTGGAGAGCGCGCGAATCTTCGTATCATGATTTTGCACAGTCAGCCAGTCAAGGCCCACTCAATCTCAACCGGAGGTGACGGGCGCCAAACTTGCCAGCCCCACATTTCTTTTTCACCAGACCAGCTCGCGCTTGCCAGATGTTGCCCCTTTGCTGGGGCATGGCCCCAGACGCCCATCGCGGAGGCTGGGGCCTGAGCACGAGAGTGAGGCAACCCGGAACTGTGGATATAAATGTCACCAGTGGCAATTTCCGAATAGGCCAATGCACGAACCGGTTCCTTTTTCGATTCTCGGCTGGCTGCGAAATATATGTGTGAGTGCAATTGCCTTGCCTCCCTCAAAATGTCGCTAGCGCAATTGGGCAGCTAAGCACTGCCACCATACCTATTGAATCCGTGCATCAGGCCACTGATTATACAGGTTGCTGTCTAAACTGTCGGATGCGGATTGTGGCACTGATGCTTCCCAGGATTCAGCCCCGAGGCGTGGTCTATGTGCAAAATCCAACGCGCTTTGCGGTGCCTCCGAAAACAAACACTTCATCAATCCACATCTTTTGCGTCGCCAGCAGCCTCCATCAGGCGCTGCGCTGCGGTCGATCCCCACGCCCGCAACGCGGAGACATACTCCTTGGGAGGCTGGGTGAGTTGCTCCTCGTGCATCATGTATGCCTTGGTTCACGGGTGAAAAGGGGTCAGGCGTTGAACAAAATGAGTTGCGTTCATTTCGGGGGAAACAACCTTAAGAACGCATCCCAAATTGAAGCACGAGATGCGATAATGTGGCAGCAGTGAACTGCCATGCACGTCCCGTGGTAAATGTGAGGGGCTTTCAAAAAAGAGAAGGAGACGAGATCTTTCCCATCGAACTTCAGCCCGCACCCAGCCCTGCTCCAGTAGATGTTGACCGAGAACCGCTCCGGCAATTGGCAAGCCTCCTTCACCGCACTCTTGTACTCTTCCTCGTTCATGCTCGTGTCCATGGCGCTGCCGCAGGCAACCAGGTCGCTGATGTAGAACTCGCCCTCATCGTTGCTGATGTTGGACAGCGTTTCTGCTTTGCTCTTCTTGGTTTCAATGCTCCTCTTGGATTTCTTGCCCTTCGTAATGGCAACCGGCTGCGGGGTCTCGTCAATGGGCTTGGCCATCTTCTGCCTCTTGTTGGTCCGCTTGGTCCGCTTCTGGGCGGGGGCTTCTGCAGGCGCAGCTGCCCTTCTGGTCTTCGGCGCCACGTGTGCCTTGGGCCTAGCCGAGCGCTTTACATCGTCCGCTGCCTGCTCGTCAAGGGCACGCTGCTCGTGCTTGGTCGGGGCGTTCAGCACGGCATACCGCCGCTTGGATGGAGATCTTGGTGTCTTCTTGCCACGCGTTTTCTTCGCCTTGTCGTTCGCGCGTCTCTGCTTTTTGCCCTTTGCCCGTGGCTCGGCGGGGTCCGCCTTGTTGCCCTTCTTGCGCGCCTGGCCCTTCTTTGTGGTCTTCTTGCTCTTTTTCTTGGACTTCTTGTCCGCGTTGGTGGACCGCAAGCAGAGCTGATCGAGGCGAGTGAGAACCTGCCGCGCAAACTCAAACTCACGTAGACCCTGACTGAGCCAACCCTGCAATTAGGCACGCCTCGCCTTTGGCGTTGGCCGCTGGCTCATCCGCTGGGTCAACTGGCGAAAACACTCTCCATATGGGTGTTGCTCGTTCTGCGGCTGGCAGCGCTTGCGTGGCCGTGAGTTGGCCCTGCTTGGCTGGCAAGCCGTGACGCCTGACACCCTGGAATTTGGCGCGCTTGGTGTCTGCAGAAACTTCAGGGGACGTGGGCAACTCGCTGATCATCTTAGGCAGCTGCGCCACTTCCCGATCATCGACCGGTTGCGTCTCAGCGGTGTCCACCGGGCCTGGCAGCTTAGACACTTGATAGGCCAAGCTCGTGTCAACCTTTGCTGCCTGCCTTTGCAGGCTGGAACAGCGGGCGCTGGAGGCTCGGTGTCCTTGGCCTTCTTCAGGCGGAGCCTGGGCGGAGGGTGGGAAAGATGGGGTCAAATTGAAAACCCTTCGTTGTAATTGCACCAAATAACTCCTGCAATCTCTGGCGGGCAAGATCCAGCTGACTCTTGATGGATTCCGTTGATGCTGCTGTGGAAGCACCTAAAACATGTCAGGAATTTGCAAGGCCCTGAGAAGCCGGAAGAGGGCAAACCAGTTACACTTAGTTCAGCTGAAGCACCCGTGGAAGCACTCTTAAAGCTCAACGGGCTGAGGGCTGAGGAAGGAGAGGCGCTTCGCGTCTCCAGGTCTCGAGGCTTTGCGGGAGGCTGTTGCTTGGCATCGTCAACAGCTCTGGCTTCTTTTTGTGTTGCAGAGGGCTGTTTCTGGGAGTCAGGGGCCACCTCACAATCACCCTCATCCTGTTCTCCCTCCTCCTCTTCTCTCTCATCGTTGTAGGCGTCGGAATCTTCACCCTGGCGAAACGTTGCCCCGCAAACCGTTTCGACTAAAAAGGGGACACCTACTTTGCACGCGTGGCCGAAAACCACACGGCGCCCCTTGTGTTTTGAGGCCTCCTAGGTGCCAGCTGTCTCGTTGTGAAGGTTGATTTCCGAGATCACGTCCTAGACAACAAGCGTGTGTATGGAGTTTGGGTACTTACGGGCAAGCGTAGTCAGTCCTCCAAGCTCTCATCCAAAATGGAGCACAGCTTCTGAAATTTGAGGTCCTAACATGCGACGATAGAAGCAAACCTGTGCCGTGAAAGCAGGAAAGAAAAACGGTCCCTTGAAACCTCGGCCCGGCCAGCTTTTCTCTTCACCAGCACCAAGTGTTTTCTGATGTGCCAAGACAAAATCACCACCTCATTCAAGTCGATCGAAGCATTGTTTGCAAAATAGATCTTCTTGATGGACGCCCTCACCCGCTCGATTTCGGGTAGCTTGCCAAGCTTTGACTTGTTCGATGCGGTTTTCTGCATTTCGTAAAGCAAGGGGGTGAGGAGACCTCGATTGAGAACGCACGTCTTGACATTGCAGTTGGTGCCCGTCAGCTCGTGCACCAAAGGCTTGCCAGTCCGCAAGCGATCCCGCAGCCATGGGTTACTATCCCAAGCCTTGACCACATCATCTAAAGGATCCATTTCGTGTTTGGGTGTCAAAATCAGCTGCTGATTTGAACCATTCCACAAACGGCGAGAGCAATTGTGCAAATGCGCTGAATGGTGTTCGTGCAGGACTTGGGAGCCCGGCGCTTCGATGAGCTCATTCGGCCCGAAAAGGGCCGCACTGTGTTACTGAACTGCCGTCGTCGGTTTTTAGGCTGTCCTCATGTTTGTGTTTGCGCCTAGTCCTGCATGCTTATACTCCCAAGCTGGATGCAACCTCAGCAGGAGTACTTGGCAAGCGCATGCGCCTGGAAGACAAAAAGCCAGGTTTTTTATGCAAGAACCCGGTTTTTCCCAAAAACCCTTCAAGAACCTGGATTCTCGTATTGAACCCGGAAAAATGTGGGTTCTTCGCTTACCAGGGATAGATAGGTTAGATAGACAGAGAGATAGATAGATAGGACAGAGAGATAGACAGAGAGATAGAGAGATAAATAGATTAGATAGATAGAGAGATAGATAGAGAAAATAAAGAAAATAATAAATAATCAGATAGATAAATAGTTAGATAGATAGATAGATAGATAGTTAGAGAAGAGACCAAAGAAAGAACGGTGCAAAAAACAAGCAGAGGAAAGAAAGCAAAGAAAAAGAAAAAGGAAGCAAAGAAGGAAAGGAGGAAGGAAGGAAGGAAAGAAAGAAAGAAAGACAGAATGACGAAGAAAAAACAAGAAACAGTGAAAAGGAAGAAGAAGAAGAGAACAAGAATCAAGACAAACAGAGAAAGAGAACTATAGTTTTTATATTTTTGAAACTTCCGCCCACCGGCTTCGCCGGCTCTACTGGTAGTCTACCGGGGCCATCAGTTTTCCCAAAAGGACACCTTTGCCCCCTCCCCCTCCACCCCCCGCTTTGTGACGATTCAGGCGGTGAAGTAAGTACCCGGGCCCACCCATTGATGGGAAGTCAGGGAAGCAACGGGGGCCCTGCAGAGGTGGACATTCGAGGCTTCGTTGCTTCCCTCGGCTTGTGTTCTGCCCTCAGCTCTTTGGATCTCTTCGGGGATACCCTAGACGCATGATCCTTGTTTCGCCTGAATGCATCTTTATCGTTTCAGTAAAGGACCAACAGCCTTTACCTATGTTTATCTTCCAGCCTGCTTGGTGGGAATTGCCTGAGACCAGCGCGAACTTCGGCGCTTTGTTTCTTTGTTCGGCCGTGAGGACTCCAACTTTTGACTGAGTGGCCTTGTCTTGCTGGTGCGATAGGTAGGGAATGTGGGAAAGAACCCCTTTTTTTAGGTCCCCTTCAGGGAAACCACCAGTTGGATGGTTTATAAGGGTTCCCTTTGGCTGTGGCTCAAAAAGTGGTACCAAAACGGCACCTTGGTAAATGGAACCAAAGACTAAAACCTGCGTAACCCTAGCTCTTGAATTTTGAGCCACACCCATTTCTCCTTTTCTGCTGAGCAGCAAGTTCTCAGGAGCTCCAGTCCCACCTTGTGACCATCGCTGATGAGGGCGAGCAGCTCTTTGCCCTCTGGCAGGGATCGTGGGATGAAGTCTTTGAGAAGTGTTTGTTGCAGGTAGGGAACCCAAACATCCACTTGCTTCCGATTTCATTCTTTTCGATCATCGTTCTGTTCAACAGATGGTTTCTTGAAAAGAAGGATCCCTGGAAAGAATGGGCAGCTTCCCCTCCATCCAGGTCGCGCAACGGAAGGCTGCACGTAGATGCTTGAGCCCACTCCTTTGGTGGCGAATGACTCATCGAAGGCAACTTGCGGTAGGCCCTTTCCGCTGCGGCCCAGCGGGCATGGGTTTGCATGGATTTTCTTGCTTGAATCAACGAGCGGTATGGTATGGTATGGTGGCTGCGGAGCAAGAGCAGTGCAGGCCGCTTTTGCGAAGATGGATGTGAACAAAGAATCCAAGTTTGTGAGTTGGACTGACCTTGAATCTGTGCCAATCCCGTGTGCAACACTGTGCATTGTGGCTTGTCTCGTCCGTTGGTAGTGTGCTTATCACGATCCGACGGTGCTACTACTGTTCAGGCAGGATCCAACTATCCAGAGAAAGGATTCATGCATGTCACTCAGCCCCCTGGACAAACCAACTTGCGGGAAAAGGCTTGAACCCCTCTACTTCTCTACCCCCTTCGGTCATTCTGAGGGCTTCCTGTACAAGGAGGCTTTGCGGCTTTGGGTGTGAGAATCCGATTGATGTTTGAGCAAACATATCAGCACAGCAAGACAGAGCACCATGTCGGATTTCCGAGCTTTTGGCGGGGGAGTCAAGTGGTAAGAGACGACCGAGGCTGAGGCTGTCGAAACGACAGTTCCTTTCGTGCCGCAATGGTTGAGCCCTGAGGTTGCCTCCTTCTTTACGCAACCCGAAGCTTCTCATCTCTTGAACTGAGCCGCGTTGAGCATTCTTTCGTTGGTCGGCACTGCGGCACTGACACGGGCGGTGAGTCCTGGTGGCCAATTTCCTTGCAATGCACTCACGTGGCAGTTACCAAGCCATGTGCGACGGGAGGGGTTTTGAACCTTTAAACCCCTGTCTTGCTGGCCGTCAAATGGGCACCAACCTGAAGATTGCCCTGACCACAGGGCCCCACCTGTTGCACGTGGCACGGGGTGTTTCCTAGAGAAAAGAACACAGAATACAGCGAGTGGCCGAAATCCTGCACCACTTAAAACCATGAAACACCATTGTTTGTTGGTATTTGCAAGGGAATCATCATGCCTTGGATTCTGAATGGTGGTGCGAAATGGATTTCGCCACCATCCACAGAACATGACCCCCGCGCGCGAAAACGTTTGGTGCCCCTCCCCTGGCCCCCCAGCTGGCCGCCATGGCCGAGGTCCAGGGACTCTGCGGGGCGCAGATGTGCTGGCTGGGTCTGCTCGAGCACCAGCAGCGTGGGCACCCAGCTGAAGCTGCGGCTTGTTTGTTTTTGGGCCTTTGGGAGGCCGAGTTGGCGGAGTCGCGGAGTGGGCGATCTGAGGGAAACAACACCAAGACGTGAGTGCAAAAGTTGGAGAGCGCTGAAACTAGTCGGAAGACGAGAAGCTGCCATGTGTTGAGAATGAGCCACATGTCGAAAATGCGGTCGCAAATTGATAAGAAAGACAATCAGACAGAGCCTTTTTTTACTTGTTTTGTTATGGTCAATTCTCATGAGTGTGTCTTGACAGCGCTGACATGTCCATGTGGTTGGTGTCTTTCTTGTTTCCTTCCACCGTGCCAATTGGGGACAGGACCGAATCCTGGTTCTGGCTGGACGGCACCTCGCTGGACTTTCAGAACTGGCAGGATGAGGAGCCCAACAACGTGGGGGGCGACGAGAATCGTGGGGTGATGAACATGAGCCCTGGCACAGGTTTCCTCGGGACTGTCGTGTCGGGGCCCGGGTTTTCAGGTCGGGGATAGAGGCTGATATATTTCTCTGTGGAATAGATTTCCAGGCTGTGGAAGTCCGGGCACAGTGGTGAGTGCGCCCTCTTGCAAAGCCTCAGACTCAAGCCTTCGATTGAAGATCGTTCAATCGTTCTTCCTTTTCTCGGAGCCTGAGTCCAAGACTCCGGACCCGAAACTTAAGCCACTGCACAACCCGCATGGATGCCTCGCCCGTTGGGCCCGAGAAATCCGCTTTCGATTGTCCGATTTCGATGTCGATCCAAAGGAACCTTCTCTTTGAGGAGAAGGCCGTTCAGGTGCAGGGGCGAGAGCTGCAGCTAGCGGTGGCGCCCCCTGACATGCAGAAATCTGGTGCCATAGGCAGGGAATGAACCTAACGGTTCCCTCAAAGGAGACCCTAGGGGATGGTTTATAGGGGGTCATTCTCTTTTTTCTCTGCTGAGAACCAGCAAGTTTGGTAAGAGGGATGCGCATGTCAGGACTGGTTTGGAAAGATGTGGGATTTACTTCCATCTGCGCACCGCGTGACGCTTGATTGTTTTCCATGGCAAGTCACTCGCCATTGCTCCCGAGCAGCGCGCTGTACGGAACCATTGCGTTGGGCTTTAGTCCAGGTTTCAAGCCAGCCCATCCGCATGTGCCCCTTTTGGCTTTGCAAGCGCCCCAAAGACAAAGCCGCGGAGCGCAGTCGGCCTGTCAGCTGTTGCCCTCCAGCCCCTCGGCCGGGGCCGAGGCTGGCCTGCGTCTTTGGCTTGATCCTGGTCATAGCGCGGCTTGGCCATAGAGGGAGGAGCGCTGCAAAAAATATTGGCTGTGTGCTCAGGGAAACAAGGTGGCCCTGTCTGTTTGTACAGCCGGTCGGTCGAACTGTCAGCATCACCATTCCTGGCTGACCTGAAGAGGATTTCAGTAGACATTGGAGGTTCTGAACCAACTAGCGGGTTCGGTCCAAGGATGCGACCTGTTTCGATGCAGTTGTTGGTTGGGCAAGGCTCGATCAAGGCCCGTGAATGTCTTAAAAGCTTTGCCATAGTAGGACATCTTCTGGCTGACGGATCGGTTGGTTTTTGGAGAAGGTGAAGCCGAACCAAATTCACCTCATGCACGAGTTCCCAGTAGCGTGCGCTTCCCAACCTCCAGGCCACTCGTGTGTGTTTCACTCGTGTGTGTGTGTTTCCTCGCTCTCGGCCCATCTTCTCGAGTTTGGGTGTATCTTCGGAGCATGGCGGCGATAGCATAAGTTTCAGATCCAGACAGGTTCTACCGGTTGGTCCCGTCTGCCCTCTGGCCAACCATTGCCTTTGGTCAACCTCATAGATATGGCTGTGGGCCAAGAATCGGTACCACAATCGAACCCTAGTAAATGGAAACACGGACTAAATCTAAATGTTTGACCCATAGCCATATGGCAACCACCATTGGACCGCAGGTTTTAGTCCTTGGTTCCATTCACCCGGATTCCATTTTGGGTACCGATTTTTGACCCACAGCCAAATATGTATCAGGGTTGAATTTGAGGCACAATTGGCAGCCAGTCAACATTTGAGGCTATATGGCAACAGCTCAAACTTCAGAAGCCAGAGGTCTTCTGTGCCTCAAACCTTTAGGTGCGGCAGCCAGCTGCTGCGGGGGCCTCCGAAAGCTGACGAGCTGCTGCCGTGGCGCGGATTTGAATCAGCCATGGGCCATGGCCGTGGTGATGATCGGCTTTGTCTTTGTTTGGGGACGTATGTTCTTGTTTTTGTTTTTTTTTCAGGTTGATGTAGAACCCGTGTGTTGTGTTTGTTGTTTCTTGGTGTTCTCATTCCATTTTTCTGCTGCACAGTGTCTTGACTTTACTGCAATGGTTGCATCGTTTTCCTGAGACCATTCATCCAGTGCTGTTCGGGCGTATCCGGGCTGGGGCCTCGTGAGCGGGACAACGGACCGGGCGTTTTGGGGTACTTGAGCCGAGCAACGTCTACGAGCGCATGAAAAGCGGAGGGCCTGAGGCCTGAGGCCTGAGCTTCTTCAACGTCTCTGCAGCGAGCAAGAGCTTTCTGATCCGCGGTCTCTAAAGTTTCCACACTGAAGAAGTTGAGCTTGGAAAGCTTGATACTCAGAATGACGTGATGCAACAGGTTGAGGCATGCCCAGAGATCTTGTCAAGATCAATATTTGCTATGTCTTGTTTCTGAGGCCCCAAGCAGAGTGACGATGGTTCTCACATGAGCGCCCAGCAACATCTCTGGAAGACCAATATGGAAAGTGCTGGACATATACACCAATATGTGTAGTAGAACGTGGCACAAGTTTTCAGGAGCAACAGAGTTACAACAAAACACTCGATCATTCGAGTAAACTTGGTTTTGTGCACGGGACTACCCTTATGTAAGAAAGTAAGCAGCTGCCACAGTGCACTTCCTTTACTACGCCTGGACTTTCGAGCCGGAGCTGCCAAAGTGGACTTCCGTTACTACAGCTGTTTGAGAAGTGGCGACACATCATTTTGATAGGCTCACTCCTGAACCAATTCTTGCAGGTATCCTCAGACCCCCAGTGCCTCAAAGCAGATTGATCCATTCGTTTGAAGTTTTTGTCATGTTCATGGTGCAACTTGGCCCAGGGGCAACGTTCATGCAAAGCTCCAGCTGTGCATTCAAGGGTCTTCTGAGGCTCGACGAGAGGGAGCTGAGGGAGGCTCGCAGCCCGCCCCTGCGCATGCCGGTGGCGGCTGAGTGAAGCACAGCGAAGCACAGCGAAGCAGAGTGAAGCATCGGAACCCGCGCCAAAGTGCGCTAGCCTTCCCTGTCTTGAGCCGGAGCGAGGACCGACTCTTTTGCTTCTTCGCGTTTGTTGGCATGGATGGTCAGGCAATGGTAGCTTTTTATTGCATGACATTGTAAAATTCGTAAGGCTCAAGCTGGGGGACGTATTTTAAGCTGAACAGCGCTGGCCAGTGCAGCAGAAAGAGCCTTCCCTGGCACCGGTTGGCGGCACTTTGAATCATAAGTACTCCTACTACTTCTACTACTACTAGAGAAAAGCAAAAACAGGTTTGGCTTTTGAGTATTCTCGTAAAGCCCTGACGCTTCTCGAGGGATTTTCTAAAAGCTTGTGGTCAAGGCAAAGAAGTCTGTAAACAACACACCGGGACACTGTTTTCTTTGGGTGTTCGGAAAAAGTAAGCTGTTTTACCACACACACACACACATACACCATTGCGCTGCGAAGGCGCGCAAGGTCGCGATGATGCGTTTTTGCTGGCGGCTTGACGTTCCCTCCGAGACAGGTATGGAGCTTTGTGAGAGTTTGGAATGCATAGATAACTTACATGGACTTGCCAGCATGGCGTTGACTCAGGACTGAGGAATGCTCTCATGCTGTGATCCAGTGTTGTTGGAGAACCCCGTGTAAGGCAAGATGGCGCTAAGGTTTTCTTGGCAAGGTGACGGGAGTCAACCCACCCCCGCCCCCCCCCCCCTCCGCGCGCGCAGGTTCAAAGACCGAGCTACTGCCGAGAAGGTCTTCGGGCAGAAGTCGGAGTTGACCTGTACCGTGGAGTGGTGCCCCACACTTTGCATGGCGAAGCCAACATGCAGTGGCCAAGGTCGTCCGCTTTTATGTTCGATTGCATCAAGCGAAAGTGGTTTCTAAGTTCCAGGGCAACTTCAAATAGTGGTTGCATTGAGACGACTGTCTTGCATGTTGTGATTCCATGTCAAAGAAGCAAGCACAGGCGGCGAGAGGTGATTTCGGCCGGTCCACGAAGATGCCTACGATGCTGAAGATATTCTTATTTGTTGTGTTTTCACTTGGGTTCGGCTTACGCTGGTTTTGGTCTTTGGTTCCATTTACCAGGGTGCCATTTTGGGTATCTTTCTTTGAGCCACGGCCACTTCATTGTGGACTGTTGCAGTAAGAACTGGCGAACTCTTCAAGTGTCGTTTTCGGCGATTATTCCGGCAAAGCTCCATCTCCATTTGAGCCCAGCGCACCAAACATGGAACCCCCGAATCTCGGAGCCAGACGAGAGGCGAGGAACAGCACTCTGGATTTGTGGCGAATATCCGCTTGAACCTGAGATGTGAAAGGCAAACATGCTGCAAAGCACAAACTTTAACTTGAGTCAGAAAGTGGGGGCTGCAACCGGCATGAACAAGCGTTCTGCACTTCTGGTGGTTTAGTGAGACGGGTACCCTCAAGCAAGATCAAGCAGCGCTTTGACTGAATTGATTTCAGTCCAACCTGCAGAGTCGAGATTTTGGAATTCCGACCTGCGGGATCGACAGTGACCGAAGGCGTATCACAGCGAGCTGTGAAAGGAAAGCACGCAGGGGATTCCCAATGAGCTTTGTGCGAGACTCACGCGCCTTCTCCTGCAACACACCATTCACTGCTCAGCAGGTACGCGCGTGAGAGGACGGGGACCGCGTTTGGGAGATGGGAAGCGAGGATCCAAACCAACCATCACTCAGCTGGTGGATTATTGCAATGGGCAACCAGTCCTTCTCAAGTTGTGGTGCGATGAAGTCAAGGATCAGAGCAAATGACTTTCTGCTCGACCTGTTTCACCTACAACCGTGATCTGCCAGGACCCAGCCCCTCGTGAAACACAGCATCGCTGTTCGATGTTGCTTGCAATGGACCGGTGAATGTTGTCGGGATTCAAGAAAAAGCACTCGCGAACCGTATGTCCGCATGGTCGGCCATCAGGCCATCAGGAGGGGTCCGGCCTGTTTGGCTTGTGACTTCAGCGCAGGTTTCAAAGGCCAAGGAATCAGCAGTCTGACTGCTTTATCAGAGATCATTCAATTACGTTTGGGTTGTTGAGTCAGGAACAGGGCACAACAAACATGTATAGTTGCATTCAGCTTGCAATAAAGTGGCTGACCGCTGCGAGAGAGGGTCGCTTTTGCTCTTGTCTAGACGAGTTTCCATTGCTTTGGCAATCATGTCAAATAGGTATTTTGTACCCTGGCACAACACACTTGCCGAGTTGCCCACGCGATGGCCGTCAACTCGCGCCTGGTTTCCATTGTGTAGGAAGCTTACCTCGAAGCCGGGCCACTGTTGAGCGCGGTTCAACCGAAAATCCAGCCATCATCAAACCTACCTTCATAAGTCCTCGCCCGTTGCGTTCGTCACCGGGTCGACCGAATGTTTCGTCGCTCGTTCGCAGGGAGACGGAGGCTCGGGCTGGGCATGCTGGGGCTGGCATGGGTGATCAAAAGCCGGCGCTGGAAGCCCTAAGGCGTTGGCTGCCAAGACTGAAAAGCGGAATGCAGTATGGCTGCGAATCAGGCAGAGGTTCTTTCCAGATGGTGGTCTAACTTGCTGTGAGCTGGGCTTGGAAATGCGGAACATTGCTCTTTTGAGTGTGCATGTGTGTTTGCGCGTCTCTAAATGGTCGGGGGATCTATTTGGACTCTGACAATCGTGGCGTGCTCATTGAATTCGATGCCATCCCAGGGACTGATTCCAGAGTCCCCAAAGATAGAACACCGTGCAGGTTTCCACACGTCCAGGAAGATTCTGCGAACTGCCTGGCAATTGTCCAAATTGCGGGGACCCAAATCTGGCCACCGGGAAAGTGCGACATGTCGCACCCGAAGCACAGGTCGGCCTTGTAGCATGTTCCTACCAGCTACCTTGTCAGCAATCTGAAGGCCATCAAGCCGCCAGACGGCCTTTAGAGCCTTGATTTTAATCCGGACGTGCCTGACTTTCTCGGCAGGTTGGCAGTCTGATCCCGGTTTGCGAGGATATGTGGGGTGTTTTCCTTGCTTTTCCCTGGGTGGCTTAAGAAAAAGGGGGTGTTTTCCCTGGGTGAAACGTGGGGAATCCGACCACTTTGGGAGGGAACTCTGCCTGGTCCCAGCGAAGGTGCAGCCGTTGGAGGACTTCATAGCCTTCAACCCAGAGGCCTTGTGCCATGGGGGGGGGAGGGGAGGTGTTTCCGGAGTTCTCACGGGATTTTTCGGATTTTTCACGGGCCCCACGGCCCCACTAGAAAATGCCGAGCTGATTCAAACCTTGGCTCCTGCCACTGTCACCATCATTGCCTGCACTCTTTTCACATGGACCCCTGAAAAGCAATCTTGGCAGGCTAGCAACAATCAGGCATTCAGCAACTGATCACAGAAACTTTCGGGGCATTGCACACTTAGCAGATTCATCTCCGCGCTATGTGCAAACACATCTCTGACAAACTTATCCAGGCACATCCGATGGAATCAAGGGCCCTTCAATGGAGCCAGAGAACTGATTGCAAGACGTTTTGGTCAAACGCCTCTCAGGGAGAGCATGACCCCTGCGATTTCCCGGATCAAGAAGGCGTTTTGGGACTCCCCAATAGAGGGATGATTTCTTTGTTAAACGCAGTTAGGACAGACACTCGGATTGAACCACAAGCACTGGCACCCTCTTAGTATCGAACTTGTGCACTTTCTGATTCTGGTGTAAGTCTTTGTGCACTTGGCAGTTCAAGGGAGTCCACAATAGTAATGATATTGCTGCTCTTCTGGACTCTTCTGGTACCACGGATTTCAGGCGACTCATCGTGTGTTGGCAGCTGCGCAGAGGTCCTCATGTTTTCCACTTTCGAGTGGACAAACCATCACACGTGGCTTCCATGTTGATGGAGCTTCCTTTCGTTTGGTGTCAACGCAAACACGAGGAACCCGCCTTGCATCCGCAGGCGTCCGCCCAGGAGAGCGGGGCAGCGCCTTGGGGTGGATGTGTCCTGTATATGTGTCAAGCGCGGGGGCAAAAGGAGTGGCCGAAGAAGAAATGCCCCGTTTGCCGGGCTGATTGCACTCAAGATTTTGTATCTTGAATGGACACCTATTTTGGGGAAGTCCTGGGAAGATGTTACGACCTTTGTGGTAGTGCTAGATCATCCCGTGCCGTTGAACATTTCGTGTCAGCCAGAGCGAATAGGAACAGGTTGCAGATGTGGCTCAGTAATCACCAGCAGCTGGTGCTGTTCTACTTTAGCCGTGCCCCAATCCTGGGGGCAGCACCGAGGGTTGACGCCTACAATTTGGTCGCTTGTTGGCAGTTACTGCATTTAGCCAAGGTTGCTTTCTCTGTCCCATTGCTGCCCCCAGGGTTCTGCTTGTTGAGGCTTATGAGTTCGCTTCCCAATGCTTGCCACTGCTCTGTGAGCTTGGCCAAAGTCTCCTCAAAGCAGCGCATGTGGCTGGCTTCCGTTCCGTGCTTTTGTTCTTTTGTATTCTGAGGGGCTGACCGGTGGACAGAGAGTCGGACATCGGCCAACACATCAGCTCTCTTCAGAGTGGGGGGTTTGCAAGCACACCTCCCTGCCTCTTCAGCTAATGTCTCAAATGTGGGGACCCCTTGAGAAGCCAAACATCAACGGATCTGTCTACAAAGGCAAGGCCGTCGCCGCTCCTGTGCTGCAGGACGCGGCCCCGCCAGCGGATGTGGACGGGAGCCAGGCGCGCTTTAGGCACCCCTCCGCGGCTGCAAAGTCGCAGGTGGCTTCGAAGTCGCAGGTACCGGACGAGCATGGTCCGATGCCCGAGTTGGCTCATGTGGCCATGGGCCATAACCTATGGCGATCCCATTTTGGGGCGGATGAACATCCATTTGCCACCTATTTTGATGTTCACCAGGGCTACAGGGTTTTGACACACAGCCATGTGCCAGGAATCACAGCCGGCAGACTCAGCGCTGTTTGCTTGCTTGCAGAGCATGCCTGCAGTGCTTGGGCTGTA